AGAAAAATTTGGCCAGGTGTGGTGGCTCACGCCTGCAATCCTAGCACTTTGGGAGGCCAAGACGGGTGGACCACCTGAGATCAGGAGTTTGAGACCAGCCTGGCCAACATGGCAAAACCACATCTCTACGAAAAAATACAAAAATTAGCTGGGCGTGGTATTTCAAGCCTGTAATCCTAGCTACTCGGGAGGTTGACGCAGGAGAATTACTTAAACCCAAGAGGTGGAAGCTGCAGTGAGCCGAGATTGTGCCATTGCCCTTCAGCCTGGGCAACACAGCAAGATTCTGATGAAAGAAAAGAAAAAGAAAGACGGAAAGGAGGGAGGGAAGGAGGGAAGGAGGAAGGAAGGAAAAGAAAGAAAGGAGAAAAAGAAAGAAAGAAAGAAAAAGAAAGAGAAAGAAAAGGAAAGAAGAAGAAAGAAAGAAAGGAAGGAAGGAGAGAGGGAGGGAGGCAGGAAAGAAAGGAGGGAGGGAAAGAGAGAGAGAGAAAGAAAGAAAAGAAAGGAAGGAAGGAAGGAAGGGAAGGAAGGAAAAGAAAATTGTCATAGTGAAATGCTAGGGCTTGGGTCATGGTTGCTGCCCTCCTGGAGCCCACAGTCTGGCAGAGAGAGGAAGAGGTGGTGAGGACAGACAGAGAGGGTGTGCCCACGTGATGAGGTTTGACGTGAACAATTTTGGAAAAGCAATGCCCCCTCCGTTGCATTTCCAGCTTGGGGAGTGGGGTACAGGGAGAGAAAGTAGGGTCTGCCCTGGAGAGACCAAAGGGGGTTTGTGCCAGAAAGCAGGGCATGGTGGCAGAAAAGTGCACCTTCCAGCAATTCCCTGATTCTTTTTAGGGGGTGTCCCCACCAGTAGCCCCCTGAGTGACCACAGGGCAGCTCTCTCAGTCAGCAAATTGCTGGTAAGCTTGGAGTCCAGTTAGGGTTTCCTGGACAGAGCAGCCCTATGGTGATCCCACTTTCTAAAGACATGACTTTGAGACACAGTAGTCTGTTCTTATCAACCTCACACCCCTCTCCCCCGATCCCAGGAAACCCCCTCAGATCCCGAGGGCTTCTTCCTAGGAAGGCTGGGGAGCGTGGGGAAGTCCCCAGGGGGCTCTCCAAAGAAGCGGGGGCAGACAGAGTCTCCCTGTCAGGCCTGTCCCCTAAACCCCCGTGAGGATTCTTACCTTTCCTGTGTCCCCAGAGCCAGACACAGCTCAAAAGGATGAATGTAGCAGATGCCAACAGAAAGGCCAGAGTTTGGGTCGGGCACGGTGGCTCACTCCTGTAACCCCGGCATTTTGGGAGGCCGAGGTGGATGGATTATTTGACACCAGGAGTTCGAGACCAGCCCGGCCAATATAGGGAAACCCCGTCTCTACCCAAAAAAATGCAAAAATTAGCCGGGCATGGTGGTGCACACCTGTCCAGCTACTGTGAAGGCTGAGGCACGAGAATCGCTTGAACCTGGGACACGGAGGCTGCAGTGAGCCGAGATCATGCCACTGCACTCCAGCCTGGGCAATAGAGCGAGACTCCCCTCAAAAATAAATAATAATAATAATAATAACAACAACATCTGTCTCCTAGGGTATAGTGGTCAGCTGAATAACAGCTCCCCAAAGATGGTCACATTCTAATCCCTGGAACCGGTGAGTAGGTCACCTTATATGGCCAACGGGGCTCTGCTGATGGAATTACCTCAAGGGTCTTGAGATGGGAGATCACCCTGGATTATCCAGGTGGCCCAATGTCATCACAGAGTCCTTACAAGAGGAGGCAGGAGGATGAGAGTCAGAGAGAGATTGAAGAGGCTGTGGCTTCTGGACTGTTGAAAGAGGGATGGGAACGAGCGGGACAACAAGTGCTCATGCTGTAATTCCAACTGTTTGGGAAGCCAGGCAGGAGTATTGCTTAAGGCCAGGTGAGCTGGGACCAGCCTGGGTGCAACATGAGTGAGACCCTCCATCTCTACAAAAAAAAAAAAATTTTTTTTTTTTTTTTGTCTTCGAGACAGACATCTTGCTCTGTGTTGCCAGGCTGGAGTTGCAATAGGCATGATCTCCGCGGGTTCAGTGCAAGCTCCGGGCCTCCTGCGGTTCGAGTGATTCTCCTGCCTCGAGGGCCTCCTGAGTAGCTGGGATTACAGACACATGTGCACACCACGTCCGAGCTAATTTTATATTTTGAAGTAAAGAGGTGGGTGTTCACCGATGTTGCCAGGGATGTTCAAGTCGTCCTGACCTCATGATCCGCCCACCTTCGACCTCCCGCTAAAGGCTGCGGATTGCAGATATGAGCACGTGTGGGCGCGCGGGCCTACAAATATATTTTAAATTAGCTGGGCAGGTGGCATGTGCCTGTGTCCAAGCTACATGGAGGCTGAGGTGGGAGGATCGCCTGAAGCATCCAGGAGAGGTCAACCGATAGCAGTGAGCTGGTGATCCATACCACTGCACTCCAGCCTTGGGCAACAGAGCGAGACCATCTCTCCAAAAATAAACACAGAACCAAGCGCGCCGGTCATTGTCACTGGAGGTGGCGAACAGAGCGGGCAATGGAGAGGAGAAGGCGTTAGCCACAGAGGACCTTGCTGCCTGCCGGGTTGGGAGCTGCTTAATTATAGAAGAGATGGTTTCAGGAAATTGCACTAAAAATGCTCCCATTTTTAGAGCCTCCCAATATCAGGCATTGGGCCAAAGGCTTTATGGACACAGCAACCTATGTGAGAGAACTGTGGTTGTCCCCACTTTACAGATGAGAAAACTGGGGCCCAGAGAGGATTAAGTCACACAGCAGGTAAAGGGGTGCAGCTGGGCTGGGAACCCATGGCCTTTAATCACCCACATCAGGGGTTACACAGTGGGGGCAGTGACCAGGTGTGTCCAGCAAAGAGGCAGCACCCGCCACTGTCCTGGCAGACCCAGAACCGGCATGAGAACAGCAGGGACGGAGGAGAAAAATACACCATCCCACACCGAAGTCCCTAGGGGTCTGGGTCCCTGAGGATGAGGTCTGGGGGCCTGGCGTCCTGGGTCCTTAAGAGACTAAGCCTCACTCACACCTATAATCCCAGCACTTTGGGAGGTCGAGGTGGGTGGCTCAACGGAGGTCAGGAGTTCAAGACCAGCCTGGCCAACTTGGCGAAACCCCATTTCTACTAAAAATACAAAAATTAGCTGGGTGTGGTGGTGGGTGCCTGTAATCCCAGCTACTCGGGAGGCTAAGGCAGGAGAATCGCTTGAACCCGGGAGGTGGAGGTTGCAGTGACCTGAGATCGTACCATTGCACTAGAGCCTAGGTGACAGAGCAAGACTCCGTCTCAAAAAAAAAAAAAAAGAGGCTAAGCCTGGGTCTCTGAGGGTGGGGTCTGGGGGCCTGGCTTCCTGGGTCCCTACGTGGCTGGAGGCCTGGGTCTCTCAGGGATTGAGGCTGGAGTCCTAACCTCCTGGGTCCCTGAAGGGCTGGGGATTTGAGTTCCTGAAGACGGGGTTTGGGGGCCTGTCTTCCTGATCCTTAGGGAGCTTAGCCTGAGTCCCTGAGGGCGGGGTCTGGGGGCTTGGTTTCCTGAATCTCTAAGGGGCTAGGGGGCCTGGGTCTCTGAGGGTGGGGCTTGGGGATCTGGTTTCCTGGGTCCCTAAGTAGCTGGGTCTCAGTCCCTGAGAGTGAGGGCCTGACTTCCTGAGGGAATCCCTAAGGGGCGGGGGGGCCTGAGTCCCTGAGAATGGGGTCTGGGGACCTGGCTTACTGGGTCTTTAAGGGACTAAGCCTGGGTTCCTGAGGGTGGGGTCTGGGGGCCTGACTTCCTGGGTCCTTAAGTGACTGGGCCTGGGTCCCTCAGAGTGGAGTCTGGGGCCTTGGCTTCCTGGATCCCTAAGCGTCTAGGGGGCCTGGTTCCCTGAGGGTGTGGTCTAGGGACCTGGCTTCTGGGTCCGTAAGGGCGTAGCGACCCTGGGTCCCTGAGGCTGGGGTCTGGGGGCCTGGCTTCCTGGGTCTCCAGGAAGGTGAAGGCCTGGGTCTGTGAGGGTGAAGCCTGGAGTCCAGGATTTCAGGGTCTCTGAGGGCGTTCTGGAGAGAAATCCCCAAATCTCCCAGGCTGGGCCTGGGCTGCTCTCGGAAGTCTCAGGACCTGCTGGCTCAGCTCTCTGATTCCTGGAAGCATCCTGGGGCCTTGAGGGGAGGGGGCAGGGAGGCAATGAGTGGTCCAGGACCCCCTCCTGGAGTTCTGGGGGGCCTTCTGGAGGGAAGGGTGTGGACAAGCCCATCTCTGTGTCCCCTCTTAGCCTGAGGACTCCCAGCCACACATACCAGTCCCCCCAAGCTCTCCCCGCCCCACTGCCGCAATGCACACCAAAAAAACAGCCTGGGTTTGGGCTCCAGATCCCGAGGTTCCCGGAAGACGAAAGTGCAATCCAGGCTCTTCTCATCCCACACGCCCCTTTCCTCTTCCTGTTGACTGGCTCCCTGCCTGAGTGGGGGTCAGGAAGCAGAGGGAACGAGGGGCATGTGACCGTGACTCAGGGCCGCCCTCCTGGCCCTTCTAGGAGCGGGGCATAGGTCCTGCCTCTGGGGAGCCCCCAGTCTCAGGAGGGGCCCATCCAGTGCAGGAGCTCAAGGCTGGGCAAAGAGGGGCCATAGGACTACGGGCGGGTCAGGGATGGGTGTCAGGGAGGCTTCCATGCAAACTGGTGCTGCCGCTTGGCTCAGCACTTTAGGCAGGGAGCTGCCCGTGCGAAGGCTTGGAGAGAGCCTGGTGTTTCAGAATTGTGTGACGTTCAGGCACTCTGGAGTCTCGGAGGAAGAGGCATGGGTGTGGCTGGAGAGACCAGCTGCCAGGCCTGAGCAGGCAGGACCCTTGAACTCCAGGGCGTGGGGGAGCTGGAGCTTTGGACCCAGGGCAGAAGGGAGCCATGGATGGTTGTAGGCAGAGAGAGGACATGGGCAGGTGGTTGCTATTCAGGGAAGACACAGAGGAGGGGTTTCAGGGAGACCCCAAAGGAGGCTGTCATGAGGGTCTGGTGGGTGTGAGGACCCTAAGGGGAGCTGTCGTGGGGGCTGGAGTTGGGTAAATAGGGAGCGAGTGTTTCATGGGGACACAGTTTCAGTTTGGGAAGATGAGAAAGTTCCAGAGATGGATGGTGGTAATGGTTGCACAACAGTGTTCACGTGTTTCATGCTGCTGAACGGTGCACTTAAACAACGGCTACGAAGGTAATTTTTATGTTATGTATATTTTGCCACAATGAAAACAAAACAAAGCGTGATCTAGGAATCATGTTTTCAAAGCAGCGCTTCTCAACCACGGTGACTCTATCGGCGACTGGTGGCCAGAGATGCTTCTAGACATCCAACAATGCACAGGACGGCATCCCAACGAGGAATCATCAGCCCCAAATTCAACAGTGCAGTGCAGGAGAAACCCAGCTTTGAACACACCTCCTCCTGGAAGCCCCCCTGGATTTGACACACCTACCGCCCTTCCTCCCCACCCCTGTACCCTTTCCTTCTCCCCTTCGTAACCCCAGGAGAGGTTAAACAGGTAGGGGAGCCCAGGGCTGTGTCGGGATGGGGTTAGGGTCAGGGTCACCAGGCTGCATCCTGTTGGGACATAGTGCTAGGCCCTGTCCCAGGTGTGGGGGTTCTGCGATTAGAGCCGCGACGTGCCTCCGTCCTGTGCAGAGCAGAGGTTAGGGCTGGGACCAGAGCGTCGTGGGGTGAGGGGATCGAGTTGTAGTTGAGCTGGAGTTACGGTCAGGACCGGGGCTGGGATGAGAGTTCAGCTGGAGATGGTTTAGGGTCACTGTTGCTGGACACGCTAAACTCCTTCCTGTTGAATTCTGATGCAGGTCAAATGAAGAGCGAGACACAGCCTCCCCCAACACACAGAGGATCCCAAATCTGAAAGAAGAACCAACACCCACAGATCTGGGGCCCACATCCGTACAGCTTTCTGTTTTTCTCCTGAAGTGAGCAAGAGGCATGTTAACACCGCAGAGGGGAAGCGGGTGGGGCAGTCCCGTGACTGGGTCCCTGGGGCCCCAAAGCATCCTAGTGTTTGAGCTGAGTCTTGGCAGGGACCTAGCAGGCAGGGTGCTTTCGCCCCCGGGAAGGACACGGTGGAGCCAGCCAGTGGGGTTGAGCTGGGGCACCTGGGCTTGTAGAACTCAGAAACAGCAAATTCCAACTGGGCACAGTGGCTCATGCCTATAATCCCAGCACTTTGGGAGGCTGAGGTAGGAGAATCACTTGAGCCCAGGAGTTTGCGACCAGCCTGGGCAATATAGTGAGACCCCATTGCTACCAAAAATGTAAAAAGCTAGCCAGGCGTGGTGGTGCGTGCCTGTGGTCCCAGCTACTCAGGAAGAGAAAGTAGGAGAATCTCTTGAACCTCAGGAGGTTGAGGCTGCAGTGCGTCGTGATTGCATCACTGCACTCCAGCCTGGGAGACAGAGTGAGACCCCGTCTCTAAAAAAATATGGACACTTTTGTGGTATAGCTTTATTTAGTAGCAACGGGTGCTGGGCACAGGAATTTTTTTGTTTGCTTTCTGGGATTGCCCAGGCTGGAGTGCAATGGCACCATCTCAGCTCACTGCAACCTTCGCCTCCCAGGTTCAAGTGATTCTCCTGCCTCAGCCTCCTGAGTAACTGGGATTACAGGCACCCACCACCACTTCTGGCTAATGTTTGTACTTTTTGGTAGAGACGGGGTTTCACCGTGTTGGCCAGGCTGGTCTCAAATTCCTGACCTCAGGTGATCCACTCACCTCAGCCTCTCAAAGTGCTGGGATGACAGGCGTGACACGCCCGGCTGGATACAGTTCTTAGTGTCTTGTGTGCGTATTGACACATCTAATTTTCACCACCATCCTAGGAATTTGATGCTTTGGTGATCATGGCTGCCTTATGTGAAGCACAGAGAGGTTAAGTGACTTGCCAAAGGTCACACAGCACTTCAACGGCAGAGCCAGGAATTTGAGCCCAGGTAGCGTGGTTGAGGCATCTGCAGCCCTAGTCACTATGCCACCTAACCTTCTATATACTAAGACCCCTTGGCACGTTGCCTACCCTCCTCATCCTTCCCAAAATGTGTCCCCAGATCCTTAACCCCTTCCCCACACTCAACTGGGAAACTCCAAATCTCCACTTCTGAGTGGCCCGCCTCCCGTGTCTCTCACTCCAGAAGACGCCCACCTGTGCCCCTACAACCCACCTCCCAACCAGGAGGGGGCTGGGCTGGGCTGGGCCATCCACTAGAGCTGGATGTCCCCACCGTGTCAGGGAGGGGCCTGGCTGGAATGTCCCCTGGACCCTGCACTCCAGAACAGCTGAGACCATGCTGCCTTGTCGGTCACCCTGGACCAAGTGGCCCTTGGTGCATGCTTGTTGAGTGAGTGACTGGCTCTGGTGGTCTGAGGCTGTTCACTTTGGGTACCAAAATGTCCCCTCCACCTTGATCTGGGGTAATGGCCAAGGACGGAGATGGTAAAGAAGGGAGGGAGGGCCTGGGTGCGGTGGCTCACGCCTGTAATCCCAACACTTTGGGAGGCCGAGGTGGGCAGATCACTTGAGACCAGGAGTTCAAGACCAGCCTGGTCAACTTGGTGAAACCCCATCTCTGCTACAAATACAAAAAATTAGCCGGGTGTGGTGGTGCGCACCTGTAATCCCAGGTACTTGGGAGGCTGAGGCAGGAGAATCGCTTGAATCTGGGAGGCAGAGGTTACAGTGACCTGAGATCACACCACTGCATTCCAGCCTGGATGACACCGCAAGACTCTGTCTCAAAAAAAGGAAGGGAAAGAGTTGGCCGGTGAGCATTGGAGAGGTCGCTGGGGGCTGCTGGGTGGACATTAGGGACAGCATTTGAGGCCAAGCCAGGGTGGGGGATTTGTCATGGGAGCAGGTAGGGTTGAGGACCCTAAGGGGGTCTGCCGTGGTGGCCAGGTAGGAGTGAGGGCCCTGGAGGGTCTGTTTTGGGGGGCAAGACAGGAGGTGGAGCCCCAAGGAGGGCTGTCATGGGGGCAGGATGGGAGTGGGGAGGCCATGGCGGAGGCTGTTCCAGGGACAAGGCAAACCAGGCAGGGGGAACCCTAAGAGGGGGATGTCACCTGGCCCAGGGGGAAGAGGGAGTGGCCAGAGGCAGCAGCTATGGAGATGGGGAGAAGCAGGTTATTTTTTTGAGAAGAGCCAGGCCCTGGTGCTGGGTGAGTGGTGGGGTGGAGGATTGGGAAGTGCTTGGACAAGGCCTGGGCCTGGGCCGGGGTGTCTGGGTGGATGGACGGACTGTCTCAGCAATGGGGACACAGGAGGAGGGGGAGGAGGAGGAAGCTTGGGAATAAGTCCAGCTGGGCCATGTTGTGAGGACACGGGATAAAGTCTATTTCCAGGATGGGGCTGGAATGGAGTTTGGTGTTTCTTTTCTGTTTTTCTTTCTTTCTTTTTTTTTTTTTTTTTTGAGACCAGAGTTTAAGCTGCTTGTTGCCCAGGCTGGAGGTGCAATGGCGCAATCTTGGTTCACTGCACCTCCTGCCTCGTTGGGTGTCAAGTGATTCTCCTGCCCTACACTCCCAATTTAGTCTAAGGATTACAGGTGCCCACCACCATGCCTGGCTAATTTTTTTTTTGTTTTTTGTATTTTCAGTAGAGACAGAGTTTCAACCGTGTTGGCCAGGCTGGTCTTGAACTTCTGACCTCAGGTGATCCACCTGCCTCGGCCTCCCAAAGTGCTGGCATTTACAGGCGTGAGCACCGCTGCAGCCCTTCCTTCCCTTCTTTCTTTCTTCTTTCTTTTTTTATTTCTTTTCCTTCTTTTCCTTTTTTCTCTTCCTTTTCTTTTTCTTTCTTTTTCCTTTCTTTTCTTTCCTTCCTTTCTTTCCTTTTCCCTTCCTTTCCTTCTCCTCTCCTCTCTTTCTCTCTTCTTTCTTTCATCTCACTATGTTGCCTGGGTGGATCTTGAACTCCTGGACCTCAAGTGACTCCACTCACCCTCAGCCTCCAGTAGCTGGGACCCACAGGCACACACCACCATGCCCTGCTAATTTTTATAGTTTTTGTAGAGCCCACGGCTTGCTATGTTGTCCGGGCTGATCTTCAACTCCCAGGCTCAAGTGATCCTCCCACCTCAGCCTCCCAAAGTGCTGGGATTACAGATGTGAGCCACCATGCCCAGCCAAAATTGTCCATACTTGACCTGAATATTATCTCATGTATCTTTCTTTTTCCCCCTTCTCTCCTTCCCTCCTGCTCCTCCTTCTCCCTCTCCTTCCTTCTGTCTTTTTCTTCCCTTCCTCTGCCTGTCTCTCCTCTTCCCTTTTTTCTTACTGGGACTCAAACTTGGGACATTTGACCCGGGAGCCTATTTGCTCAATCATCAAGAGACATAATCTCATGGTGGGGTGTCTACTGGTAAGTGTTGGCTGCCAGGATCCCAACTCCAGGCCGTCCTTCTAACCCAAGAGGTCCTGCCTCTGCCTAGAACCTTCCATGGCTCCCCAGGGTCCTCTGTGATCGGCCACAGTGGTATAATAATTCCACTTTGTGCAATAACCCTGGTTCAAATCTTGACACCACTGCTCACCTCCTTCAGCCCTGTGGGAACTTGCTGCTTAACAGCTCTGGTTTTCACCCGATTCTCTTACCTGAGAAATGGAGATAATAATAACACGGACTTCACCAGGGTGTGGGGAGCGCCAGGAGAGGCCATGCGTGTAATGTTATCCGGGCGGCAAGCTTATATTTAGGTCTATGAAAATAGAAGCTGTCAGTGGCTCTACTTTCAGAAGAAAGTGTCTTTCTTCCTGCTTAAACCTCTGTCCCTGACGGTCCCTGCCAATCTCTCTGGTCGACCCCAACACACTAGGAGGACAGACACAGGCTCCAGACTCCACTGAGTGAGTACGTATCTGTGTGTGTCGGGGGTTGGCCATGGGAAGTGGAGATCGAAGCGCCCTTGGAAAACATGACCTTCGGCTGAGCCTCAAGGGATGAGCAGGAGGAGGTCACAGCCAGAGAAGGGAGGTGGTGGGCGGTGGGAGTGGGGGTGGGGGCCGCATTGTGGACAGAATCTCGAGGCATTCAGGTCCCTGATTTGGGGAAGTGAAAACAGGCCATCTGGTCTGAGATGAGCTTGGTGAGTGTGCTGGGCCGATCATAGAGGGCCCTGGGGAGCCATGGAAGGCTCTAGGCAGAGGCAGGAGCTCTTGGGTTAGAAGGACAGTCTGGAGTTGGGATCCTGCCAACCGGCACTTACCAGTAGACACCCCACCATGAGATTGTGTCTGCAGATGATTGAGCAAATAGGCTCCCAGGTCAAGTGTCCCGGGTTTGAGTCTCAGTCCCACCACTGCGTGATGGGGATAAATGGCTTCCCCTCTTGGTACCTCTGTTCCATTGACAGAGGCCCCACAGAATGAGGACACTCCCCCCGCATCCTGCCAGTAGATTTACTGAGCACCTACTGTGTGCTGGTGCTTTGAATAGTCCCAGTTTACAGATGAGCAAACTGAGCTGCTCGTCCAGGGAGAAGCCAGGACTCGGGCTCAGGTCTGTCCGGCTGCCTCCGTGGACACTTCCAGTCCCAGAATGGTGACACCTCTGGGCTCCTCTCACGTCAAAAGGGCCAGCTTGAGCTGCGGCTAATCAGAGCCTGGCCGCCCCACACGCCACCTCCCTGAGGCTCCGAGAGAAGGGACTTGCCTACAGTCAGGCAGCGAAAGAAGGTAGCCGGTGACCTCCAGGCCTGAAAGACCCCAAGTTCCATGCTCCTCAGCACACAATAGATGCTTTAAAGTCAGAGGACTTGGTCAGGTGCAGTGGCTTAAACCTGTAATCCGAGCACTTTGGGAGGCTGAAGCGGGTGGATCACCTGAGGTCAGGAGTTCGAGACCAGCCTGATCAATATAGCGAAACCCTGTCTCTACTAAAATACAAAAATTAGCCAGGTGTGGTGGTGGGCATCTGTAATCCTAGCTGCTTTGGAGGCTAAGACAGGATAATTGCTTAAACTCGGGAGGTGGAGGTTGCAGTAAGCCAAGATGGTGCCACTGCACTCCAGCCTGGGCAACACAGTGAGACTCCATCTCAAAAAATTAAAAAAATAGGCCATGCACAGTGGCTCACGCCTGTAATCCCAGCACTTTGGGAGGCTGAGGTGGGTGGATCACGAGGTCAGGAGTTTGAAACCAGCCTGGCCAACATAGTGAAACCCCGTCTCTACTAAAAATACAAAAATTAGCCCGGCATGGTGGCACGCGCCTGTAATCCCAGCTACTCGGGAGGTTGAGGCGGGAGAAACGCTCAAACTCAGGAGGCGGAGGTTGCAGTGAGCCGAGATCGTGCCCCTGCACTCCAGCCTGGGCAACAGAGTGAGACTCCATTTCAAAAAACAAATAAATAAATAAATAAATAAATAATAAATAAAGTCAGAGCACTTTACAGATGCCCTGGGGACACCGGCAGAGGAGAAGGCTGAGGCCTGGGTTATGGGCTCTTAGCGTTTCCCAGTGGGATGTGGCACAGAGTAGATGCTTCATAAATGTTTAGAATCTGAAGACCCACTGCGCACAGCCCCGCACCAAAAACCTCAGGTACGCTGTGATCTCATTGGATCCTATCTTGGCCTTATGATTTGGGTGCTGTCATCAGCTCCTTTTACAGAAGGGAAAACTGAGGCTGAATCCTCGGCTGAGGGCGCACAGGCAAGGCAATTACAATAAAAGCTGGTGATATTTTTAGCACAGATCACCAACCCACAGTATAGGTGTTCTCAGTATCATCATTTTACGAATGAGGAAAGAAGTTTCCAGGTTAATTAAGCCATTTGTCAAGATCTCCTGGGTGCACCTGCTGTGTAGCTCAAGTGTGATGGACTCTGGGGGTGCCCCACTTCTGATCTCAGGCTGCTCTCTCTCCACACCAGCTGTGTCTCCCCACTAACCACGCTAGTGAGTCCAGATTGTAGACTAACCAAAATCAGCAGATAGTCACTGAGTCCCCCCAAGTCCCAGATGCTACCCTGCGCTGGTAACTAGGGTTTGACGCCTCACCCTAACCATCATTAAAACCCAGATCCCAGCCAGAGCTGTGATTGTGCCCGCTGAGTGGACTGCGTTGTCAGGGAGTGAGCGCCCCATCTTCGGGAGAATCCAAGCAGGACCGCCATGGAGGAAGGTCAATATTCAGGTAGGAGGACTCCCTGGTTCTAACACTGGCAGAAGCAATGACCCTTACCTACTGCCTTTCACCCAGGAGAGAAGGGGGGCTCCCCAGTCCCTCTCTGGGAAAAAGGTGAATTTCTAAGAAAGGGACTGGTATGAGTAAGGAGGTGAGGCTGGACCGACTTTCCTGGCGCAGAGCCAGGAAGGGGTGGAAAATTGAGGGCCCCTCCTTTTTCTGACTCAACACCCTCCTAACAAAAACAGAAAAACAAAGAGAAAAAGAACAAACGGCTCCAGCTAGCGAGCTGGGAGCCCAATAGAGTCAGAGGCCAAGTAGAACAGGAACTTGGAACAAGTAGAATTTAGCATAATGAATCCTCCAAGCCAGGGTGAGTGCAGAGGGCCAGGGGCTTGGGGTGGGACATCCAGATAGACCTTTGGGGGCCTGGGAGAGCTTTGGAGGTCTGGATGTCGGATGACACCTGGGAAAGCGGCTGGGGAGTGGCTCTGATGTTGGGGAAGAACTGGGACTCAGTGTCCTGGGTTTAGGGAAGGGACTCTGGGTTGGGGACAGGTGCAGAGGTATAAGGGTGGGCTCTGGGGGTCAGAGGGGAAGGAAAAAGCAGGACCCGGTCTTCTGGAAGTGAGGCTGGGGGCCTGGCATTGGTTGTGGGGGCTGAGGGAGTCTTAGCTCTTGGTCCCAGATCTGTCTCTGTGGACAGTGACCCAGATCGAAGTCAGGTAAGGAAGCTGCACAAATGGAGCTAGGGGTCCACTGAGACCCTCTGCTTCAGTGTGGGCTCTGGACAGGCTCCCAGGTTGTCGGGGGCTCTGGGTCATGGGGAGACGGACAGGGCCAGTGTCCAGCTTCGCCCTGCACCCATAGTCAGTCCCTCCACCCCCGGCAGAGATCGAGGAGCTTCCCAGGAAGCGGTGTTGCAGGCGCGGGACTCAGATCGTGCTGCTGGGGCTGCTGACCGCTGCTCTGTGGGCCGGGCTGCTGACTCTCCTTCTCCTGTGGCGTGAGGACATCCCCAGCCCCATGTGGTCCCCCCAACTCATGGGGCTCGTCTGTGTTCCCTCCCACACCCCCATCTCAGAGCCTGGGGAGCCCAACGCACTTCTGAAAGCCCAATTTTCCCATCCTTCCTCCCACCTGGACACTGGCAGCCCTTTCCCATGCCCCCCGCTCCAAAGCCCGTCACCCCCCACCCAGCATCCCTGTCCTCCATCCTTTCAGCACCTCCATGGCTTATACCCAAGACCTCCTTCCCCAGCTGGGAGATGGGGTGCAGGCAGGTGGGGGTACTGACAATCCCCACTCTCCACTCCTCTTCTCTCCCCCTCCGCAGACTGGGACACCACACAGAATCTAAAACAGCTGGAAGAGAGGGCTGCCCAGAACGGTATGAAGGGGTCAAGGTGGAGGTGGATGGGGGTGAGGGTTAGGACGCCCAGCTCTCATCCCGCTCCTCTCTGAGCCTCAGTGTCCCCTCACTAAGGAACTGAGGGTCAGCCTAAGTTGCTCCCTGTCCTAAGGAAGGCGGGGAACCAGGGAAGCTTGGAAAAGTGCCTGATAGCATCTTAATACAGATGCTCTTCTGCTTGCAATGGGATTATGTCCCCGTAAGCCCATAGTACGTTAAAAATAGTGTAAGTTAAAACTGCATGGCTGGCTGAAGGCTTTGGCTCCCCACCATTCCCCAGCGTTGCAAGAGAAGTAAGGTTTCCTCTAAATGCATATTGGTTTCAGACCATTGTAAAGTTGAGCCATTGTAACTCGAGCTATTGTAAGTTGAGCCATTGTAAGTCGGGCAGCCTTAAGCATCTGTAGCATAAGGAGTTTGTAACTGCTTTGTGCCTCCATTTCCTCATCTGTAAAATGGGCATAATTTTAGTTCCATGAGACAGAAACAAGCTCTAAGATTTGTGAAGTGTTCTGATAGTTGCCTACTGCTTTTATAGTTAATCCTGGGTGAGGGAAAGGTACACAGGTTCATTATATTCTTGCATATACCTTCCTGAGTACACTCCTCCTGCCCCAGTAAATGAACAAACAGCAACAGCAGCTGTTGTGACTATGTGAGAGGGTCCCTGAGCCTGGGGCATGGGCGGGGTCCAAGGACCTGCCTTTGAGGTTCCTGGGATATCTCTTCTCTCCCACCGCTCCAGTCTCTCAAGTTTCCAAGAACTTGGAAAGACAGCACGGTGATCAGATGGCGCAGAAATCCCAGTGTGAGTGACCCCTGGAGTGGGGGTTGCAGGGGGAAAGGCGAGGGGGTCTTGGATGACTTCCTGGACCCAGAGCGTTAAGACTCACTGTACCCCACCCCCAACGCCCGGGAACTGCAAACTGAGCAGGTGGCTCTAAGAACCCAGGCAGAGGCCAGGGGATGGGTGGGGGTAGATGGGGGAGACAGTGAGAACCTGCTGACCACGAAGGCCCCTCCCCTGCAAACAGCCACTCAGATTTGGCAGGACCTGGAGGAACTTCGAGCTGAACAACAGAGATTGAAATCTCAGGGTGAGAGACTGGGATCGGGGGTATGGAACCAGATTGAGTGGGAAGGAGGGAGTGTCTCAGAGCCCTGGGGAACCGTGAGGCTGGGGGGCCAGGCTTGGCGGGTGCCCTCGGCCTGTACACATCCTCCCTGAGACCAGCCCTGCGCTCCTACGCACAACAGACTCGGAGCTGTCCTGGAACCTGAACGGGCTTCAAGCAGATCTGAGCAGCTTCAAGTCCCAGGGTGAGGCTTGGGAGGGGATGGGGCAGTGGGGGAGGGAACAGACAAGGAGGGGGCCTGCCAGTCGGTCTCTGAGCACTGCCCCCTGTCGAATCCCCAAGAATTGAACGAGAGGAACACAGCTTCAGATTTGCTGGAAAGACTCCGAGAGGAGCTGACGAAGCTACGGATGGAGCTGCAGGTGTCCAATGGTGAGTGTGTGAGTCTCGGCTGAGGATGCTCGGGTGTGTTGGCAAACGTGAATGACGGCACGCGTGTGTGACGTGAGGCAGCATGTCTATACATTTGTGTGACCCAAGTGTCATCAGGGGGACACAAAGCACAGGGTAGGGAGTGTGCTCGGATGCGAGGCAGAAGTGTGCGTGACGACAGAAACAGGACTAAGTTTCCGATGGGGCAGGACACATGGGGCATACATAAAACACCCCTTATTTTATTTTTTAAGAGAAGGGTTCTTGGCCGGGCGCGGTGGCTCACGCCTGTAATCCCAGCACTTTGGGAGGCCGAGGTGGATGGATCACGTGAGGTCAGGAGCTCGACACCAGCCTGACCAACATGGTGAAACCCCGTCTCTACTAAAAATACAAAAATTAAGCCGGGCACGGTGGCTCACGCCTGTAATCCCAGTACTTTGGGAGGCTGAGGCGGGTGGATCACGAGGTCAGGAGATCGAGACCATCCTGGCTAACATGGTGAAACCCCGTCTCTACTAAAAATACAAAAAAAAAAAAAAAAAAAAAAAATAGCCGGACGTAGTGGTGGGGGCCTGTAGTCCCAGCTGCCTGGGAGGCTGAGGCAGGAGAATGGCGTGAACCCGGGAGGCGGAGCTTGCAGTGATCCGAGATTGCGCCACTGCACTCCACCCTGGGAGACAGAGCGAGACTCCGTCTCAAAAAAAACCAAACAACAACAACAACAACAAAAATACAAACATAAGCTGGGCGCGGTGGCTAATGCCTATAATCCCAGCACTTGGGAGGTCAAGGCAGGTGGATTATTTGAGGTCAGGAGTTTGAGACCAGTCTGACCAACATGATGAAACCCCCATCTCTAATAAAACTACAAAAATTAGCTGGGTGTAGTGGTACACACCTGTAGTCTCACTACTCAGGAGGCTGAGACAGGAGAATTGCTTGAACCCGGGAGGTGGAGACTGCAGTGAGCCGAGATCGCGCCACTGCACTCCAGGATGGCAACAGAGCGAGACTCCATCTCAATAAAAATTTTTTAAAAATTAGCCGGGCGTGGTGGCAGACATTCGTAATCACAGCTACTTGGGAGGCTGAGGCACAAAAATCGCTTGAACCCGGGAGGCGGAGGTTGCAGTGAGCCGAGATCATGCTCTCTTTGCACCACTGCACTCCAGCCTGAGCAACAAAATGAGACTCTGTCTCAAAAAAAAAAAAAAAAAAAAAAAAAAGAGGTGGAGTCTTGCTCTTTTGCCCAGGCTGAAATGCAGTGGTGCAATCATCGCTTACTGCAGCCTCCAACTCCTGGGCTCAAGCAATCCTTCCACCTCAGCTTCCAGAGTAGCTGAGACTACAAGCGTGTGCTACCACACCAGGCTAATTTTTTTATTTTCCTGTAGCTACGAGGTCTCCCTATGTTACCCAGGTTGGTCTTGAACTCCTGGACTCCAGCGATCCGTCTGCCACAGTCTCCCAAAGTGCTGGGCTTATAGGCATGAGTCATTGCATCTGGCCCTAGCTAAGTTTTTTTATTTTTTGTAGCAACAGGATCTTGCTATGTTGCCCAGGCTGTTCCCGAACTCCTGGGCTCCAGCAATCCTCTTGCCTCCGCCTCCCAAAATGCTGAGATTACAGGCATGAGCCATCTTACCTGGCAAGAACGCCCTTTCTGATTCCAACTGGGTCCTTTCACAGATTTGGAGGCTCCTACAATTTTTTTTTCTCTTCTGGGTTAAAGCAGTCCAGTGTTGACCCTAGCTGGGACCTCCCTGCTGTTGTCCTCTGCCTGATGTGCCCCAGTGAGGAGTCATTAGTAGGATTCCCACACACATAGCCCTCCTGGTAGATTGTCTGATCAGGTCAGGGAGCCGGACAGGGGTACTGTCTGCCGTGATGGGACAATGGAGAGGGTGACCTCTTTCCCAGGGGTGGCAGTAATGGAGGCAGTGTTGACCCCAGGAGGCTAGCAGGCTGCAGAGAGAGCAGACATTCAGTCACTGTACCCTTAAGGTGGGGTAGGGACCAGGTGCACTGGCTCACGCCTGTAATCCCTTCATTTTGGGAGGCCGAGGCAGGAGGATCACCTGAGTCCAGGAGTTTGAGACCAGCCTAGGCAACACAGCTAGATCCTGCCTGAACAAAAAAATGAAAAAATTAGCCAGATGTGGTGATGTGTACCTGTAGTCTCATCTACTCGGGAGGCTGAGGTGGGAGGATCACCTGAGCCCAGGAGTTTGAGGCTGCGGTGAGCTAGGATTGAGCCCCTGCGCTCCAGCCTGGGCAACAGAGTAGGACCTTGCCTCTAAAGAAAAAAAAATTTTAGTGCGGGGTAGGAACCGGGGTTTTACAGCCCTGCCATTCCCCCAACCAATGCCCCCACCCTTGATTTTTGGTCTTTGACCTCTGGGAAGCCCCAGCTGTCCTAACTGGGGCAGAGAAGAGGAAGTTTCTATGCTTGGTGTGACGGAGTCCCGTCCCCTGGGATGTGAGGTCGCTTTGGGAATCCCAGCCAGAAACCTCAGTGTGGTCCCTCAGGGAGAGGCATAGGGGAAGAGTACTCTGGACCACAACTACTTCTGACAGGTCACCTCCTAATTCTTCTGCAGTCCCTGAAGTCTCCCCTAAATCCAGCCCCACAGCCTGGGATCTGAGCCCGGCTCTGAGGTTGTCTCTGGGTGACTGTGTAACAACCAACCAAGACACCTTCCCCTGAAGTTTCCTTTAAGGGCTCAGAAATGTCTTCTTCCTGGTTTTGGGGGTTTGGGTTTTTCTTGTTGTTGTTGTTGTTGTCGTTTAGAGACAGGGCCTGGTTCTGTCACCAAGGCTGGAGTGCAGTGGCACAATCATAGCTCACTACGGCCTCAAACTCCTGGGGTCAAGTGATCCTCTCATCTTGGCCTCCCAAATCACTGGGATTACAAGTACGAGCCACTGCACCTGGCCACCTCTTCCTGTTTTAACGCCGCACCTCCAGAGGACTGAGCACTGGTTACCATTGCATGGGTGAGAAGCAATCCGACTCAAGCTACTGCAGACCCTAAGCCCCTTAGAAGAATCTGACCACGTGAGAGTGGGCGTGGTGGCTCACGCCTATAATCCCAGCATTTTGGGAGGCCGAGGCAGGAGGATCACTTGAGCCCAGGAGTTTGAGACTGGCCTGGGTAACGTGGTAAGACCCTGCCCCTTAAAGGAAAAAAAAAAAAAATCTGTAGTCAGGCGCGGTGGCTCACGCCTGTAATCCCAGCACTTTGTAAGGCCGAGGCAGGTAGATCACCTGAGGTCAGGAGTTCGAGACCAGCCTGACCAACATGGTGAAACCCCGTCTCTACTAAAAATACAAAACTTAGCCGAGCGTGGTGGTGGACGCCTGTAGTCCCAACTACTCGGGAGGCTGAGGCAGGAGAATCGCTTGAACCCAGGAGGCGGAGGTTGCAATGAGCCGAGATAGCACCACTGCACTCCAGCCTGGGAGACAGAGCAAGACTGTCTCGAAACAAAACAAAACACATCTGACCACGTGTAGTGGAACCCTCCCTGCACATCACTATAGGAAAACCGACTTTCTTAAAGTGGGTTTTTGCTATGTTGCCCAGGCTAGTCTCAAACTCCTGGGCTCAAGCGATCCTCCTGCCTCAGCCTCCCAAGTAGCTGGGATTACAGGTGCACACCACTGCTGAAAATCTATTTTGAAGCAAGAAAGATTTGATCCAGTAAGAGTGGGTTTAACCTCCTACCTGGGAGGTGATAGCAACAATGTCTGGGAGTCTCCTTGGGGTGGAGGGAAGGGGAGAAAGAGACCATATTGAGGGATTGTGGGACCTAGTCTTACAATCCCATTGGCTCTTCTGACCAAAGCCTCCCACTGGAAGAAAATCATTTCAATTTCCCAGACATTGACTAGGAGTGCTGGTTTGGGGGGTACTGCCAGGGATGATGACCAGGGCTGTTGGTGGGGATGGTGCTTGGGGAAAGTAATCGCTGGTGGACTTGGCCACAGCACTGGTTTTGCTGTTAGTGCTGGTGATGAAGACATGGTTGGTGTGGTTGGTAAAGATGGTGTTGGCTGTGGTGTGGGTGGTGGAGATAAGTCACTGCTGGTGGTGGGTGCCTCTGGTAATGATATCAGTGATTAAGGTGTTGCTGACCTTGGAGGCGTCTGTTGGTGGTTGAAGTGCTGCTGGCCATGAGGTGTCTGTCATGATGTGGTTGGTGGCTGAGGCACTGTTGGCCATGAGGTGTTTGTGCTGATGATGGTGGTTGAAGTGTTGTTGGATATGAATGTGTTTGTGGTGACAGTGATGGTGGCTGACTTGCTGCTGACCATGGTGCTGGTGATTGAAGTACTGCTGGCCATGGATGTATTGACGGTAATGGTGTCAGCAGTTGAAGCACTGATGGTCAAGAGTATATTTATAATGATGGTGTTGGTGGTTGAACTGCTTCTGGCCATGAGGTGTTTGTGGTGACTTTGGCATCAGCTGAGGTGTTGCTAACCATGAGGTGTTAATGGTGATAGTGTTAGTGATTGGCGTTCTGCTGGCTGTAAGGTGTTTGTGGTGACAGTGTTAGTGGTTTACATGTTGTTGGATATGAATGCATTCATGGCAATGATGTTGGTAGTTGATGTGTTGTCGGACATGAATGTGTTTGTGATGATGATGTTGGCAGTTGATGTGTTGATGGACATGAATGTGTTTGTGATGATGATGTTGGCAGTTGATGTGTTGATGGATGTGAATATGTTCGTGGTGCTGGTGTTGGTAGTTGATGTGTTGATGGACATGAATGTGTTTGTGGCGCTGGTGTTGGTAGTTGATGTGCTGATGGACGTGAATGTGTTCGTGGCGTTTGTGTTGGTATCTGATGTGTTGACGGACGTGAAGGTGTTCGTGGCGCTGGTGTTGGTAGTTGATGTGCCGACGGACGTGAATGTGTTCGTGGCGATGGTGTTGGTAGTTGATGTGCCGACGGACGTGAATGTGTTCGTGGCGATGGTGTTGGTAGTTGATGTGCTGATGGACGTGAATGTGTTCGTGGCGCTGGTGTTGGTAGCTGATGTGTTGATAGACGTGAATGTGTTCGTGGTGATGGTGTTGGTAGTTTATGTGCTGACGGACGTGAATGTGTTCGTGGTGATGGTGTTGGTAGTTGATGTGTTGATGGACGTGAATGTGTTCGTGGCGCTGGTGTTGGCAGCTGATGTGCTGACGGACGTGAATGTGTTCGTGGTGATGGTGTTGGTAGTTGATGTGTTGATGGACGTGAATGTGTTCGTGGTGATGGTGTTGGTAGTTGATGTGTTGCTGGACGTGAATGTGTTCGTGGCGATGGTGTTGGTAGCTGATGTGTTGATGGACGTGAATGTGTCTGTGGTGATGGTGTTGGTAGTTGATGTGTTGATGGACGTGAATGCATTTGTGGTGATAGTGCTGGTGGTTGAGGTGCTTCTAGTTGTGAGGTATTTGTGGTGACAGTGTTTGCGGTTGCAGTGTTGCTGGCTGTGGAACTGGTGATGTGGTCATGGTGTTGGTGACTGGGGTGTTGCTGGCTATGGGTGTATTTATGGTGATGATAATAGTTGTTGAGGAGGTGTTTGTGGAGATGATGTTGGTGACTGATGCTCAGCTGGCTGTGAGGCATTTGTGATGATGGTGTTGGTGGCATTTTTGACCATGTGCTATTTGTGGTGCTGGTGTTGGTGGTTGAAGTGCTGCTGGCATGAGGCGTTTGAGGTGATGAGGGTGGTCAAAGTGCTGTTGGCGATGGTGCTTGTGGCTGAGGTGCTGCTGGCTGTGGAACTGGTGATGTGGTGGTAATGTTGGGGATCGAAGTATTGCTAGCCATGGATGGATTTATGGTGATGTTGGTGGCAGTTGAGGTACTTCTAACTATGAGGTGTTGATGGCGATGGTGTTAGTGATTGCTGCTTTGCTCACTGTGAAGTATTTGTGGTGATGGGATTTGTGGCTGAGGTGCTGCTGACTGTGGAGCTGGTGATGTGGTCATGGCATTGGTGATTGAAGAGTTCCCAAGCCATGCTGGATTTAAGGTGATGAGAATGACAATTGAAGGGCTTCTGGCCATGGTGGTGCTTGTGGCGATGGTGGTTGAAGTGTTGTTGGACATGAATGCGTTTCTGGTCATGGTGTTGATGGTTCAAGGGTTTCTAGCTGTGAGGTGTCTGTGGTGATGACGGTGGTTGAACTATTGTTGGATATGAATGTGTTTGTGGTCATGATGTTGATGGTTCAAGGGTTTCTAGCTGTGAGGTGTCTGTGGTGATGATGGTGGTTGAAAAATATATGACCACGGCAGCGTGTTGGCTCTCAACCCTGTAATCCCAGCACTTTGGGAGCGCCGAGAGGCAGGCAGATCACCTGAGTCAGGAGTTCGAGACGAGCCTGACCAACATAGGAAACCCGCCTCCTTACCAAAAATACAAAAATTAGCAGGGCATGGTGGTGGGCACCTTAATCCCAGGTACTCAGGATACTGAGGCCAGGAGAACCGCTTGAACCCGGGAGGCAGAGCTTGCAGTGAGCCAAGATCATGCCTCTGCACTCCAGGCCTGGGCGACAGAGCGAGACTTGGTGTCAAAAAAAAAAGAAAAGAAAAGAAAGAAAAATAAATATTATTGGACATGAGTGTGTTTGTGGCCTTGGTGTTGATGGTGAGGGGCCTCTAGCTGTGAGGTGTCTGTGGTGATAACGGTGGTTGAAGTGTTGCTGGACGTGAATGCGTTTGTGGTGATGGTGCTGGTGGTTGAGGAACCTCTAGCTGGGAGGTGTCTGTGGTGATGACGGTGGTTGAAGTGTTGTTGGACGAGGGTGTGTTTGTGGCATGGTGTGGTGTTGACCATGTTGGACCTGAATTTGTGGTGACGGCGTTGGTGCTTGTGTTGCTTCTGGCCATGAGGTGTTTGTGGAGATGCTGACGGTGGTTGAGGTGTTGATGGTCGACACCGTGCTCTGCTAACCGTGAAGGTGTTTGTGGCCACAGTGGCTGAGGTGCTTCTGCTATGGAACTGGTTGGCATCACAGCTCCAGCAAAGAACACAACCCAGGAGGCCGTCTGTTAGGCCCTGGGGTGCGTCTGCTTTTAGCCGGGACTCCAGGAGTGGCCCTAGGAGAGGAACCGCCACCTACTCTGCCCAGGGTGCCCATGGCATCTCCCTTGGCACCACCCCTGAGCCTTTTCTCCACCCCAGGCTTTGTGTGCAACACGTGCCCTGAAAAGTGGATCAATTTCCAACGGAAGTGCTACTACTTCGGCAAGGGCACCAAGCAGTGGCTCCACGCCCGGTACGCCTGTGAGGACATGGAAGGGCAGCTGGTCAGCATCCACAGCCCGGAGGAGCAGGTGGGCCCAGGTTCTGCAGAGGTGGTGGGCAGCACGGCGAAGGTGGGGGGACCCCTGCCCCACTCTACCCAACCTCTCGAAGTGGGCTGGAAGGCCCCGGGCACATGTCTCCAGTCCTCCAGCCCTGTCCTGCCCCGCAGGACTTCCTGACCAAGCATGCCAGCCACACCATCTCCTGGATTGGCCTTCGGAACTTGAACCTGAAGGGGGAGTTTATCTGGGTGGACGGGAGCCCCGTGGACTACAGGTGAGGAGGGGGCCTCTGGGATCCAGGGGAGGAGGCAGAAATACTGTGGAGGGAGGAGCTCCCTGAATAAACTGCACCGGGAAACGGGTGAGGACTCAGAGAGAAGGGTCTCTAGGGTGCAGGGGAGGAGGACGCCAGTGGGGGTTGGGGGACCTGGCCAAGGCTTCTCTGACCTGGAGGAGGAGATATAGAGGAAGGGGCACAGATAAGAAGGGTGAGTCTTGGCCAGGCAGGGTGGCTCTTGCCTGTCATCCCAGCACTATGGGAGGCCGAGGTGGGTGGATCACCTGCCAGGAGTTCAAGACCAGCCTGGTCAACATGGCGAAACCCCTCTCTACTAAAAATACAAAAATTAGCCAGACATGGTGGCGGGCGCCTGTAATCCCAGCTATTTGGGAGGCTGAGGCAGGAGAATCACTTGAACCCAGGAGGTGGAGGTTGCAGTGAGCCAAGATCACGCACTGCACTCCAGCCTGGGCGATAGAGTGATTCTGTCTAAACAACAACAACAAAAATAAATAAATAAAATAAGGGTGAGTCTTGGGCTGCAGGGTATGGGGCACCAAAATGAAGTACAGGTCCCCAGGCACAGACTCAGGATGGGGGAACCTGGGGTGAGAAGGGAGGGTGCAGACTCAGAGGGCTGTGTCCAGGCTGCTGGGAACTGGGCCCCTTCTCCCTGCCCCATTCCCTGACCCCAAAGCCTTTTGCTTCAGCAACTGGGCTCCAGGGGAGCCCGCCAGCCAGAGTCACGGCAAGGACTGCGTGATGATGCGGGGCTCCAGCCACTGGAACAATGCCTTCTGCGACCGTAAGCTGGGCTCCTGGGTGTGCGACCGGCTGGCCACGTGTGCGCCGCCAGCCAGTGAAGGTTCCGCAGAGTCCCTGGGACCTGAATCGAGACCGGGGCCCTGACGGCCGCCTGTCCGCCCCCTCTGCCCCTCTCCACTCTTGAGCATGGACACAGCCAGGCCTAGAGCGAGACCTGAAGACCCCCGACCACGGCCTAAACGCCTCTTTGTGGCTGAAAGATCCCCGTGACACTTTCTGCCACCCAAACGGAGGCAGCTGGTACATCTCCGGCTCCTCTGCGGCCCCTGCCTTCCCAGGAATGTCCCCCAACAGCATCCTCTCCACATGGGAGTGCCCCCAAACACCACCCTCTCCAGATGCAGCCCCATGTCCTCAGCACCCCAGGACCTCAGTACCCCAGCTCAGGTGGGGAGTCCTCCTGTCCAGCCTGCATCAATAAAATGGGGCAATGATGGCCCCCACATTTGTCTCCTTCTTGGAGGCCTGGCTGCGTCTGGTCTCTGGGTATGGCATGTGGCAGCTGGGAATTCCAGAGTCTGATGCCTGAGACCACCTTTGAAGGTTGGGACATCAGATCTTTGTCCGGGCGTGGTGGCTCATGCCCGTAATTCCAGCACTTTGGGAGGCCAAGGTAGGCGAATCATCTGAGGTCAGGAGTTCGAGACCAGCCTGGCCAACATGGCAAAACTCCATCTCTATTAAAAATACAAAAATTCGGCCGGGCACAGTGGCTCATGCCTGTAATCCCAGCACTTTGGGAGGCCGAGGCGGGCAGATCACAAGGTCAGGAGATCGAGGCCATCCTGGCTAACATGGTGAAACCCCGTCTCTACTAAAAATACAAAAAATTAGCCGGGCGTGGCGGCATGCGCCTGTAGTCCCAGCTGCTGGGGAGGCTGAGGCAGAAGAATGGCGTGAACCCAGGAGGTGGAGCTTGTAGTGAGCGAAGATTGCGCCACTGCACTCCAGCCTGGGTGACAGAGCGAGACTCCATCTCAAAAAACAAAAAAAAAACAAAATTCACTGGGCGTGGTGGCACATATGTGTAAGCCTAGCTACTCAGGAGGCTGAGGCAGGAGAAGTGCTTGAACCTGGGAGGCGGAGGTTGCAGTGATCCCAGATTGTGCCACTGCACTCCAGCCTGGGCGACAGAGTGAGACCCCAACTAAAAAAAAAAGAAAAAGAAAAAAAAGAAAGAAAATTGGGAGCAAGCAGACATGGTGGCTCACGCCTGTAATCCCAGCACTTTGGGAGGCTGAAGTTGGCTGATCACTTGAGACCAGGAGTTCGAGAGCAGCGTGGCCAACATAGTGAAACCCCGTCTCTACTTAAAAAAATACAAAAATTAGCCAGGCATGGTGGCATGTGCCTATAATCCCAGTTACTTGGGAGGTTAGGCAGGAGAATTGCTTGAACCTGGGAGCCAGAGGTCTCCCAGGCAGAGGTTGCAGTGAGCCAGGATCGCACCACTGCACTCCAGCCCGGGCAACAGAGTGAGAGTCCGTCTCAAAAAAAAAAAAAAAAAAGAAGAAAAAGAAAGAAACAAATTGAGGAGGAACTGAAGCAGAATTTTATCTCCCATTTTCGTTTTTTCCTCCTCTGTTACAAGGAGAAGGTGTAGGACATGAAGAGTCTGAAGTCCGATGGCGCCTTGGAATATTGTAGGGGAAGGCGGTGGATCACCCTGAGGCGGGGAGGGCGTGAGTTGACTCATGGAAGTACCCAGAACTGCGCTTGGTATACAGAAGGCGCTCAGTAAGTGCTGGCTGGCTGGACAAGCTGATGGGGAGTTGGCCTGTTCAACCGGAGGCCATTTCAGGTCTGGAGGTGGCACCAGCCTCAGGCTCAGCCGTCATTCCAGATTCAGGCCATCACCCTGTCCAAGCCCTCTCCCAGTGCCACCTCCACCAGCCAACAGCTATTCCAGGATCAGCCCTGGGCTATGCGTGGTGGTTGCTCCACGGTTTCATTCATCCTAGACACACCACCTTCTCCCCAGTGTGCTGAAGCCCACTCCACTCAACGCCTCTTGCTGGGATGACTGAGACTGCCCTGACCAAGCCCTCAGCCCTAGTCCACCAGGCAGCCCAATGGAGCATCCTCAACAAGTCTAGACACCGACTCCTTTGGCCCTTCTCATAACCAGTGAGGGGAGCCCAGCTGACAGTCCCTGCAGTTCCTTTTCTCAACAGACCTGTCTGTTCACATCCTGGGGGGCAGGGGGAAAGGAAGCAGGGAAGATTGGATCACAGATCCCCTCAAAAATCTGGAAGGGGGCCGGGCGCGGTGGCTCAAGCCTGTAATCCCAGCACTTTGGGAGGCCGAGACGGGCGGATCACGAGGTCAGGAGATCGAGACCATCCTGGCTAACAGGTGAAACCTCCGTCTCTACTAAAAATACAAAAAACTAGCCGGGCGCCGGTGGGCGGGCGCCTGTAGTCCCAGCTACTCGGGAGGCTGAGCAGGAGAATGGCGTGAACCCCGGGAGGCGGAGCCTTGCAGTGAGCTGAGATCCGGCCACTGCACTCCAGCCTGGGCGGCAGAGCGAGACTCCGTCTCCAAAAAAAAAAAAAAAAAATCTGGAAGGACTTTTTCTTGGGAGGAGGAGTGATCAGGAACCAAGTGTGGTGAACAAAAGGGGAAAGGAAAATTGCCTGAGGTGTAATAATTAATTATTTTTTTTTTTCTAAGACAGGTCTCACTCTGTCGCCGAGGCTGGCGAGTGCCAGTGGCGTGATTCTTGGCTCATTTCACCTTCACCTCCCAGGTCAAGTGATCCTCCCACCCTTAGCCTCCCAAGTACTGGGATCCAGTCCCCGCCACCCACACCCAGCTAATTTTTGTATTTCTTTAGTAAAGATGGGGTTTTGCCATGTTGACCAGGTTGGGTCTCGCCTTCCAGCTCAGTGATCTGACTCCCTCGGCCTCCCCAACTGCTGTGATTACAGACAATAAGCCACCACGCCCGGCCTTATTTCAAATTTTTTCAGACAAAGTTTCACTATGTTGCCCAGGCTGGACTCCAACCCCTGCCTCAAGCGATCCTCCTGCCTCAGCCTCCTGAATAGCTGGGACTCCAGGTGTGCACCACTGCATCCCACTTATTTTTTTTTTTAACAAGGAAAATGTGTTTGTATCATCCTGAACTTTAAAATTAACTTTAAAGTGTTGACCAGACTGGCCAACACAATGAAACCCCGTCTCTACTAAAAATACAAAAAATTAGCCAGGTGTGGTGATGGATGCCTGTAATCCCAGCTACTCAGGAGACTGAGGT